GATGTTTGACTTTCCCTCCCAATTCCAGCCTCACTCTGACGCATTCGCATATCTGGTCCTCAGCAGCATTTTGGGGTAAGTTACACAGCAGAAAACCATGAAAAACTTTCTCTATGCTTACTAACACTGAAGAGGATTTAGTGTACACTAACAGCTGTCAAATGTGTACTTTTAGGTCCTGTTGTTAACGCTATGTAAGGATCAGAAAGCCGAGTCCTATGTGCATTCTCATATTACATTACATAGCTTATGCATTCCTGGTAGTGTGCGTTATGCAACAGAAATATTCTCACAAATCTCTTTGGGTGAAACAGATATGCTCATGATGCTGGATTGTCAATCGAGAGTGTCTTAAATTCACTGTTTTGTGTCTCTTCACACTTTACAGCGAACCCCTGAAAGTCTTTCTTCTGAGACTGCTGAACAAACACGAATTTCACAGAGATTAAACTTAGGTTGTTAAAAAGGACAGAAATTAAATTAAACTCCGACCCAAAGAATACAACCTGATGTTTGAATTTTATCAGTGAATCACTGCATTAACAGACTCTTGCTGGACAGCGATTCATGTTTTTCAAATACAGGGGAAGAGAAAGGAAGACAGTGTTCCATCCCAAATATAGTCACGTGAAAACAAAGGTTTACACAAACCTCTGTGTCTTGGGAAATACCAAGTACACCCCATTAATTTAATAGCTTTTCCCCCCCTCCGCTGTATATTTTCATCAGTCTCTCACATTGTTCTTTCTTCTAGCATTGTTAGTAGGCCCCGATACAGAAATTTAATCAGAATGAGGGTTGGGCTTTAACTGTGACATGGCAACACCGTGATCCTTTTCTTTTTCAGCCATTCTGCTGTGCTTGGGATCACTGACCTGTTGCATCACCCAGTTTCAGCCAAGCTTTAGCTTTGCTACAGATGGATTCACCTTTGACCCCGGAATACTTTGCTATACAAAAGAGTTGATGGTGATAGCGCTGATGTGCTCTGTTTGTTTTTCACTGAACATAGTGCTGTGCATTATGACCAAACATCACTATCTTGTCCAAAGGACATTGTTTCCTAAGTCCTCCAATTTAATGAGATGCAACTTTGTAAAAGAGAAAAGAAACTTTCTCCTGGCAATGATTCCAAACAAGCCATACTTGGCAAGAACTTTAAACTTTTCTATACCAAGTCTAACTAAATGCAAATGATGCTCAATTTGTAAACTACTGTGTAGTGTCTTCTGATGATTTATTCGGTAGCTCCGACTATTCCTCAGTAAGATATGCCAAGCACGTCTGATTAAATGTATTATCAGTAAATGAGCTCAGCAAACTGCTGTCAGCCAGATTGTCTGTCACAGTCTTAAACACAGGGGCTGAAGACACAAGGGGAATCTAATAAACCATGAATAGTAACGGCAACCTTGGCATAAAGGAATGAACGTAGAGAACCTAAGAAACTTAAACTCAAACATCAACCATAAACATCAATGTATATATGAACTCAAAACACTGTGTCAAAAGACCCAGGATCGTGACATCGTCCACGTTTTAGTGACCAACTTTTCATCATTCATCACATTCAGACGTGACTACTGTGGAGAAGTACAACATGTGGACTCAGAAACAATTTT